ACAGGGGCCACCCCTCAGGATAGGTCAGGAGGCCTCAGCGTCCCCAGCAGTGGCCACCTCAAGCCCAGCCCCAGCAGCACGGGCACCTGCGCCTGGACCCCAGGCCCCCGCAGAGGCCGAGGGCCAGCTCCTGCCAAGCCGCCGCGGGTCCCACAACCCAAGCTTCTGTCTCTGCCTGGCTTGGAGAACCTGCCCCGGAGCTGCTGGTCTGGGCGGGCGGCTCAGCACACCTCCCCAGCTCCAAGCGGTCACCCTGATCCAGGGGAAGGCGCGGGGCAGAGCGAGCCCTGAGCTTGGCCTGTGGTGCTTACCTTGGGCAGGTGTTTCATGACGCACATCACCACCGGCTGCAGGGATGGCATCTTCACCAGGGAAAAGCTCTTTTCCAGGAGATCCTCCAGTTTCTTGTACCTGGAAAGACTCCCCTTCTGAGCACAGCGGCTGCCTCCATGCCCCAGGCAGCCGCCAGGTCAGGGGACGGGTCTCCATGCGCGGGGGCCCGCCGCGGAGCAGGGCCCGCGGCCCCGGGGTCAGTGCCCCAGCGGGGCCCGGAGGAGGGCTGCGCGTCTCACCGGCCCACCCACCTCTCCTCGGCCTTGCCCTCCGAGGCGATGGCCGACACGCGCTCCAGCAGCTTGTCCCGCAGCTCGTCGAACACCGACTGGTGGAATTCCAGCCGCGGCGTCCCGTGCAGGTCCAGGAACGGCAGGGCGGACTGCAGGGAGGGTAGCAGCACGCCATTCTCTGTCTGCGGAAACAGGCGGCCCGTGTGCGCGGGGTCGGCTTCGCTTCCTGGGACGCGGGGCGACCCCAGGACGCTCTGCGCGGCCGGTGCGAGCACGCCCCCCGCAGCCCCCCGCAGCCCCCGCAGCCCCCGCAGCCCCCGCAGCCCGGCCGCCGCACCTGGAATTGCTCGATGGCTTTGAGCGGCTCCGTGCAGTTGGTCAGCGTCTCCTTCAGGTCCTCGCCGTTGGCCACGCCCAGGTCCTGCAGCCCCGCGAACATGGCCGAGGCCGCGGCCCCCGCGCGGCCCGGCGCCCCATCCCCGCCACGCTCCCCCGGCGCCGCCGCGCCCGCCGCAGGCCCCCCCGGCGTCCGCTCGCTCGGGCCTCGGGGGCCGCCCGCGCTCCGCTCCCCGGCGCCCTCCAGCTCCGCCAGGTCCCGCCGGCAGCACGGCTCCGCCGGGGCCGCGGCCGCCCACTTCCGTCCTGCGAGGCCGCGTCCGCCGGCCAAACGGTCCCCCGGAAACGCCGCCGCCGGCGCGCAGAGATTCCTGGGAGCGAGCGTGCGCCGAGGACGAGCGCCCCGCCCCCTGCGCCGCGGCCCGCCGCCCACTGAGGCTCGCAGCCGCGGGTCTCCCGCCGGGCCGGGTGCGTGCGCTGCGCGTAACCTTATCCTCGAGCTCAGGGTCCTGGGTGGGGGGGCACGGCGGCGCGCTGCGGAGCGCCGGGGCGGGGGACCCGGGAAGGGGGCTGCCGACGGGGTCGGAACTGGGAGTTTTGACTTCGTGGGCTTTAATCATGAAAAGTCCCACGAGCAGCCTGTGAGATCAGCCTTGCGACGCGGACAGTGTTTTGGTTTCAAGAGGAGCAGTCCGCCCTCGCTGCCCCCGCCCCCGGGCCGCACCAGGTGCACCACCCCCTTCGTCCCTGGAACTCTGGAACTCGGCTCCCTCCTTGCCCAACAGAGACGGGGAAGAGGCTGCGGAGCAAGGTTGTCACGAAGACTAAACTCTACCGTGTGCTTCCGGAGGCGCCTAGCAGAGACCCACTGGAGACCTGGGGGACAGAGTGAGATCGGGACAAGGACAGGTGTCCTCACTCTCATCACGGTGAATTTCCAAGCCCCAGGCTAACCCAAGGCAGGTGGCCCTCAGGCTGACTCGTCCATCCTGACACACTGCAAATTCAAGGCTCAGGTTTTATGGTGTCTTTGTCCCTTGCAATGCAAGAAGCTCGCGCACAGTGAGTGGGCACCGCCTGATGGGCACTCTCCTTGGGCTCCTCTCTGCTACGTGTATAAGCCCCTGGACCCAGCAGTCTGCGCTCTGTGGCCTCAGCTCACCAGCTCACCTCCTCCCCTCCAAACAGCCCTATATCCTCCCAGGTTTGGCCACACCAAACATCACACCCTCTCCCTTTTTGTATGCCTTGTCTTCTGAGGTTCATCCTGCTAGAAATTCCCTTCCTACTGCCCAGCAAACTCCTGGTCATCTTTAAAAGTCACTTCCCCCGCTACCTCCTACCAGGAAGCCCTCCCTCTTCAGCCCAGCTGGAGGGCAGTGCTCCTTCCTGCTGGTCCCACTCCTGACTTTGAGCCCTGGGGGTTGCTTTCCACCCCCTTCCCCGAGTCAAGCTCCCAAGGCCAGGCCTTCTATGGCTCTGCCTCTGTTGCCTGCGGGCTGAGCTGGTCAGCCCAGGGCCTAAGGATGGCCATCTGCCATGCCACTGCTCTAATTCCCAGGGATGGTGCGGCTCAACGTCCAAAGTTGAGCCCTAGAGGAGGTGACAGGTAAGTTGCACTCGGGATTCCCTGGGCTTTGACCTCTCTGCGGGATGGAAAGATGTCCGCACCACATCATCAACTGTTGCAGTGCCTTTTTGAAGGGGTCAGGCTCTGGCCCACCACATGGGTGGCACAGGAAGGACCCCTGGAGAAACTGGTGCAGGGACAGAAGCCACCCCCAGCTGCAGGTGAGGCCCTTAAGGGAAGCAATCTTGGCGACAACTCCTGGGTAGAAAGGTAGGCTGCTCCTGTGGGCAGAGGCAGGACCCTAACAAGTGAAGGCCCAGGAAGTCTGCTGGCTGTGGTATGGCCTGCACACCCCTGGGCAAGTTCACAGGCTCTTTGGGCAGGAGCCGAAGAAGTGAAGAACCAGCTGGTCCTCTGCACCTTCCCTGGTTACTGGGCAGGCCGACCTCACCTCAAGATGACAGCTGATCCTTGGGTACACTGGCAGCTTGACCAGTCCCTTCGGTAGCACAGCTGGGTGGGGGTGTCTTGTATTGCCGACTGGGTCCCCTCCCATGCAGTCCCCAGCCAGAAAGTCCCAGGCTGCCACCCCACCCGCCCTAGAGAAGAGGGCACCAAAGGGGAAGCAGAGGGAGACCCCTGGGCAAGGAAAACCAAACAGGACGGGTCAGCAGCCACATCTGTGGGACAGCTCACTAGACGAGCACACAGCAGAGTTGGGAAGAACCTTCAGCATCTCTGTATTGGGGGGCGGGGAGGGTAGATGGCTTTTGGGCTGGACCGTCCTCAATGTCCGCAGCTCACAGAGGGGTTGGCAGGCCAGGAGAGTGGGTCAGAGGCACCCACAGAGTCAAAAGGCCGAGCTGGAGGCCCTTAGTTCCAGGCAGGCCTGGGAAGACCCCCAAGGAAACCAGGGTTCTGTGAATAAGCAGGTTGCCGGCTGTGCAGAGGAGGCGCTACAGGGTGCATAAGGGTCCCGTGTCATGGCGCTTGGGTCTTCGGACACCCTGGATCACCACTCCCGGCGCCGCGGGGAAGCGCGACTTAGAGCAACCCTCCACGTGGTGGGCAGCTGGGCCGGAACTGCCGGCTGCAGGGAGAAGGTAGAGCCCACTAGGCTAAAACGCCAGCGGCCGCGCAGCTCGCAGCTCCCCGCAGGCTGAGTCCCCACCCCTGCCCCCGGCCTGGCCTCCTCTCTCGGTCTCCTCACGGGAACTGAGCCAGGAGGCGAACGCAGGTGAGCGGCTCATGGAGAAGGCGGGCGGGCGCGGGTTCTGCAGGCGGCACCCGGGAGAGATGTCGTAGGTGTTGGGGCCGGGAAGCTTCTCGCCCCGCGGGGCCTGTGGAGGGCCCTGAAGCTGGGGCTGGGGACGGTGACCCGCACCCCCGGCCCGCGGCAGCCCCGGGCGGGCAGGGGCCTCAACTGTCTTGGAAGAGGGGCGGCGGCCCCCAAAGCCGAAGGCCGGGAAGGCAAGCGAGCGGAGTGGCTGGTAGTCGGCTGGTGACGGCCACTGGCGGAAAGAGGCTGCTGCTTCCCCCGCCGCCCCCGCAGGCCCCGCCCCTCCCCGGCCCCCGCTCCAGCCCGCCCCTCCCCGGCCCCCGCTCCAGCCCGCCCCCGCAGGCCCCGCCCCTCCCCGGCCCCCGCTCCAGCCCGCCCCCGCAGGCCCCGCCCCTCCCCGGCCCCCGCTCCAGCCCGCCCCCGCAGGAGTAGCCGGGCGGGCCCTCCACCTTCTGCTCTTGGCTAAAGTCGGCCTTCTGCGTGAAGGGGCTTTCGCTCTGGAACCACAAGGTCTGCCACGCCCTGCGGCCACCGCCCTCTGCAGCAGAGGCGGCGTGGTTGGGGGGCAGGGAAGGCCGGCGGCCGGAGACCCGCTTCCGGAGGCAGGGGGCGGGCGGCGGGGAGGGGGCCACGCACCGTGGGTACGGAGCCTGCGGCCGATGCTGAAGTGGGGATGCGGGGAGGACTCGCGCACGGAAGCGTCCGGCACCGGGTACTTGGCGGGGCCGGGGGTCTGCAGATCGGTCACGATGGGTGGGCGTCGTTCCAGCCCTGGCAGGAAGCAAGCTCCGGGCCTGGGGACTCAGCGGGCGCCTCCCCAGCCCTGCCCGCCTCCCCAGACCGGACTGAGGTGGGGGGTAGCCAGGACCCGTACTCACACAGCTCCCTCCGGTTCTGGGCGCAGATAGGCGGGCGCTCCTGGAGGAAGCCCGGTTCCATCCTGAGGCCAGCCTGGAGCTCCTGCACTCCCGGGGGCCAAATCTCCCCGGCGGCCCCTGTCTGGGGGCCCCACAAGAACACACTAGCCTTGGGCCTACAAGGGAGAGGGGGGAGTGCTATCCTCCCAGCCCAAAGGACTTCCCGTCTGGGCGGCTCCCCCGGCACACCCAGCTCCCGGAGAAGTTACCGGGCTGGCACAAGTGGCCTCTGCCTCAGGGAACCATGAGTCCAGTGCTGGCCTCCACTGATGTAAAAATTCGCCAGGAATTTCACAGCTTTCTGGTCAAAATTCATTGTCAAAGCACCTGGCTCTCTTCTGCAGGGACACCTCAGAGCTCTGTGACCTCATTAGCCAGCCATGGGCAACCCCTGCCTCAATTGCCAGGAACTTCCTTGGGAAGAAACATTGCCCAGCCCTGGAGGGGCTGCTACCGTGGGCCCCTCACAGAGACCCCTCCCCTGCCCAGCCAGGTGGGTCACTCTGGTGTCAGCCTCAGCCCAGGGGACCCCTAGTCTGCCCCAGTGACTTCTGGCTTGGCCTCCTTTCCACTCTTCTCCCCTTCGTTATCCCAACCTCTCTCCTCCCCTAGAATCCGGGGTCTCTTGAACGGCCAGGGTCCACTTTAGCAGGGCTTCTGGGAGGACCGGGGCCTCTACAAAGGACTGAGCTGTGAAGGGTCCATCCAGGATGAGGAGGGGAGGGTGGAGGGACCCAGGAAAACTCCCTGGAGGAGGAGCTCCTGCTGGAAACCCAGCCTTCAGAAAAGCAAAGCAACGGAAGGAGGGCCTGGGTGGACCCTGCTGACCATAGAGGCAGTCTGGGGACTGGAGCTGCCTGGTGGCCCAGGTAGGGCTGAGGTATGGGGGCCTATCTTCTGCTTAGTTGCACAGAGGCTGGAAGATGTCATAGATGAACGGGGCTGCCCAGGCTGCAGCGTGAGGGAATAGCAAGCCCACGTGAGAGAGCCCCGCTTGAGCTCCAGGGCCCTTGCTGTGCCCTTTGCAACTGACTAGCCTGCTAGCCCTAGGCCTGGTCTTGACCTAATCCATGCCAGCAGGGCCCAGTCAAGAACAGCTCGTCCTCCAGACCTACTCCCACCGAGTCTCTGCAGATCTCTCCCAGCCAGCACCGACCCTGCCTGGCCTCGGGAGGCGCTCCAGATAGATGGAAGGAGGGAGGGACAGAAACTACCTTCAGGAAACACGGGGTTCACTAAGGTGAGGGGCTCTCGGCCTGTGCTCCGGGCCCCTCCCTTGGTGCACGGTGTTCTGCAGGGGCAGCTTTCGCCACAAAGCTGCTTTCACTGGACATTTGAGATACTCTGATGGCTGACCTCACACAGACGTCCTCAGCCACCTGTCTGTGGGTTCCTGTGGGCAGGTTCCTGTGAGCAAAAGCAGCCCATCCAAGTAGGTAACATTCGGTAAGGACCTGACCCGTATCCCCTCACTGCTTTCCGGACAGCGCCCGTGGCCTTGCTGGAGGGAGCATCGCGCACCCCTGCTATCAGCGCTGGTGTGAGGTTCGACCTTGGGTCTGTTTCCTGACTGTGGGTTCTTTCGTTAAGATGTCCACATTCCATGTTCCTACCCCAGTGTTGATTTTTCTTGTTTTTGTGAGGTTTTTACACTGATAGCATATCTCGGCCTAAACTTGTTGCAATCTTTTTTTCCCCACTTGTAGTCCGCTTTTTCTCAGTTTTTTTGTGTTTTCTGACACGTACTAGAATTTGCTCGCCTTTTCCTTTGATATTTTCCTTTGTTTTTATAGTTAACACATCCCTATACAAAAAAATAAAATCAGTTATCGCTATACAAAAAAGTAAAATCAGAAAAAATACCCACTTCCAGGGGAAAGACTCCAGAACAGAGTTCCAAGAGCCCTGAGGCCTCCCACGATGCCCAAGAAGCTTTCCAGGGCCTCTGATCTGAGGAGCACGCTTGGGAGCGGGTAGCAAGAGTCCAGGGAAAATCCCATCTTACCCTTCCCGGCAGGGCTGTCCCCAGTTCTCCGAGCTCCCCGGGTCCTGAGGCTGACCCTCCCAGCCTGTTGCCTGTCTGGGCCTCGGAATTCCACCGGTAACATGGGAGCACTCACAGGGTTAAGGAACGCTCCCGGACCAGGTAGGGCCCAACAATGGCAGGCCCCTTCACAATGGTTTCCAGGCAACAGGTTTCCCTTCTCTGAGGAAAGGGGGTCAGACGTGGAAAGGGGCAGGAGCCAAAGGCGCTGTTGAGGCAAGATGGCAGCTACTCAGAAACACAACCTCTTCACGCCAGAACCTCACTACATCCCTGGGTGAGTGCTGGAGGAGGCGGGGGGTCTGCGGAGGGCAGGGGAGTGGGACTGGGGCCACAAGGCTCAAAGCCACCTGTGACGAGAGCACCAAAGCCAGTGTCTGGGGAGAGGGGACGAGGCCCGAGGGCCCCGGAGAGGCCCTGGGCAGGGCTGCCGAGGCCCCCGCCTCCCCTCCCTGCTGGCCCTGTCCTGAGAGCCCCATCAGACTTCCCACATGCCTGTGAGGAGCAGGACACCAGTGACAGCCCAACAGCTGGCGGAGGCTGGCTGCATCCACCCCGGATACCGCCTGGAGTGCTGAGTGTCTTAGATACACAAAGCTTCGGACTAGCTGATTGGCGGGACGCTAGGCCACCCCACTAGGGGCCCTAACATGGAAGCCAAAAGGGAGCCCCTCATGGCGTATCATGCGTGCTTCTCCGTGCAAGTGGCTCCCTGGGAAGGAAGGGCGGCTGCAAGGAGTCAGGCCCCACTTTTCTCAGTGGTTCTAGGGGTAACGCTGGGCCAGGCGACAAAGGACAGGCTCTCACCCTCTGGGCCCTAGCCCTGCTTAGCTCTCCCACTAGCAATTCTGCGTTCACTCTGGCAGTTTTTTCAAAACCACTCGTTCTACTGGGGTGAGCATACCGGCCCCAGGGCTCACCCGCTTTGGGGCCTGCACAGTGATCCCCACGCTACTTCCCCTTGTATCTCTAAACGATACTCATCTCAATGGTCACCTCCTCCCAGCAGCCCTCCTGCCTGCCTCTCAAGTCCTGAGCAAAAGTCTCTGCCAAATCCCTGCAACGCTTCCCCAGTGGGACCACCTTGTGTAGACTGGGCTGTGCCTCGGTCCAGGCCCGGACCCTGTCACTTCCCTGGGAATGCGTTGAGGGGGCGGAGTTCCCTGTTCCCTCCTTCTTAAGCTCCTGGCTTGAGGAGGGCCAGGCAGAGGGTAGATGGCAACCTGATGGCGAGGATGACGGTGCATCTCACCTGCGGGCCCGGCCTCCTCTCGGTGCTTGGTCTATGCCACCCATCCGTGCCTCAGGAGCCTCAGAAGGCCGGTGCTTGTGGGACTATCATTGCTCGGTTTACCCGGTCGGGCGGCTCTGCCCCTGCCTGGGGGCCGGCTCCACACCCTGTGCACGGGGGCCTGCCTCCCCCTCTTCTTCCCTCCGCAGCTACGCGGGGTTCTATCCGCAGCTGCGCTATCAGGTGGGGAACACCTACGGGCGCACCACAGCACAGCTGCTCACAGACCCCAGCGTGCAGAAGAGCCCCTGCTCCGTGCTGTCCCCCATATCCAAGCCCAAGTTCATCGAGGACTTCAGCAAGCCCAAGCCACCTTGGATACCCTGCCGGGACCTGACTGAGCCCTATGTCCCCCACTACACCGGTGAGCTGCCCGCCCCGCCATCCTGCCGGCCCCAGGCTCGGCCTCCTGCCAGTTGTCACTCATACCCACCCTGTCCGCACAGGTCTGAAGCCCTACAAGAACTTTGAGATCCTGGGCCGGTTCCCACCCCAGGAGGGGAACGCCCAGAAGGGGCCGCAGGGAGTAGAGAGCATATCCAGGCAGGTCCTGCTGCCTTCGGGCTTCATGCCCTATGCCCCCTACCCCCCATGCCCGCCAGGCAGGAAGGGGGGCTCCAGAGACTTTGGACACCCAGGCCTGCGGCTGGCACACGGAGAGGAGGCCTGGAAGAGCACCACCCCCGTCCACGAGGCCCCCGGGCTGGACCAGGTACGGGAAAGACGCAGGACCAAGCCTCATTCAGCCAGACCCAGCTGGGGGCTGAGGCAGTGACTGGCTCTCCTCCTGCCCTAGCGGCACCACTGCAGGAGGGGTGAATGCCCAGCCCCTGCTCAGCGGCAGGAGACCCTAGACGTGGGCGGGTTCCACAGGCTGCCGCAGCTCGACCACCCCAACCTGATCCAACGCAAAGCCATCTCAGGTCGGTGCCCGGGAACTGGGTCCGAGAATGCGCACTGCTCCCCGCTTCCCAAGCACTCCAAGGCTGCAGAGGCCCAGGCACCCGGAGAGTGAGGGCGAGTGACAACTGCTGCCTGGGGTCTACCCCGCCCTGAGATCAGTTCCGTAACAAGGCTGGAAGCCCCTGGCCACCCGCGGCCGGCGGGCCCCAGGAGGCAACGGAGGACGCTTAGGGAAGGGAAGAAGCCCCGACAGGCGTCCCGGGCACACGTGGGAGCAGGTGGGTGTGCCCCAGGAAAGGCAGGCGATGCTGGGGCAGCACCCTGATCACCCCCTCCCCTAGGTTACGCCGGCTTTGTCCCGCGGTTTGCCTGGGTGATGGGGGTCAACTACCGTGACGGTGTCGCACAGGCCATGGCTGAGTTCAGCAAGAACCAGGTACGAGGCCACCACCCCCAGCCCGTTGCCCAGTGCCCACCCAGGCCCCCACGGTGGCATCCATTCCTCAGGGCAGGCAGGAGCAGGGCCAAGGCTCACCCTGAGGGGCCCTGGGGAGGAGGCTGCTTCTCCTCTGCATCTGCCTCCTCCACACACGCGTCCAGGCTTCCTTCTCCGCAGCACAGTGGGGAGCGGGTGAGACAGGAGGGGCCCCTGAGCAGTAAGAACCCAGCCCCACAGCCCCCCCCCCCCCTGCACCCCCGTGAGCTTCTGTTAACCGGTTACGAGCCAGGAAAGGCCGTATGTGTCAGCAGCTGCCTGTTTCCGCAGTTCCTGTTCAGAAACCCCATCTGTGCCCTGGGGGAGCGGCTGCCCCAAACACACTGGCCTGGCAACACCATCTACAGCAGCCAGGGCCTGATCCCCTTCTACATGGGCTTCGTACCATGTGAGTGCGCAGCGGGCTCCTCACCTACCTCCTCGGCAAGGCTGCAGTGACCAGGCCACTCTAGGACGAGCTGGATGACCGCCCTCCCCCGCCCCCGCTGTACCACTGGCACAGAGCCAGCTAGTTGTATGGCCCCAGGGTTCCCACCCGTCCGCTCATCCCCAGTGTAGAAGGGGCTCACCTCTCCCTGAACCCAAAAGCCACAGGCACACGGAGGCCAGCTGTGTCCAGACCACGCTGGCCCTCCAGAGGTTCAGCGTGCACAGGCCGGGTGGGCAGGAGGCAAGTGCCCAGGGCAGCTGGAGCTTGGGCGCACGGCAAGGCCCGGGGCTCAGCAGCAGCCTTGCCCCCGCCCACAGCCACGCAGGACAACTACGCGCTGACGTTCGGCAATAGCACCCGCAAGGCCTATGGGAAGGAACTGGGGAGGCGACACCAGACACTATGAAAATGCTTTAATGGTGGCGTCCGGACAGCAACGTGGCGTCAAGACAGGAGGGAGAGCAAGTGCACACAGAGAACAGGCTGTGCGTGAATAAAGCGTTCACACCGCTTCCCCGCGCTCACCAGGGGACCGCTCTAGGCCACCTCCTCCTCGGCCTCCTCCTCGAACTCGCCCTCCTCCTCGGCCGTGGCGTCCTGGTACTGCTGGTACTCGGACACCAGGTCGTTCATGTTGCTCTCGGCCTCGGTGAACTCCATCTCGTCCATGCCCTCGCCCGTGTACCAGTGCAGGAAGGCCTTGCGCCGGAACATGGCGGTGAACTGCTCCGAGATGCGCTTGAACAGCTCCTGGATGGCCGTGCTGTTGCCGATGAAGGTGGCGGACATCTTGAGGCCGCGCGGCGGGATGTCGCACACGGCGGTCTTCACGTTGTTGGGGATCCACTCCACAAAGTAGCTGCTGTTCTTGTTCTGCACGTTGAGCATCTGCTCGTCCACCTCCTTCATGGACATGCGGCCGCGGAAGACGGCGGCCACGGTCAGGTAGCGGCCGTGGCGCGGGTCGCAGGCGGCCATCATGTTCTTGGCGTCAAACATCTGCTGCGTGAGCTCGGGCACCGTGAGCGCGCGGTACTGCTGGCTGCCGCGGCTGGTGAGCGGCGCGAAGCCGGGCATGAAGAAGTGCAGGCGGGGGAAGGGCACCATGTTCACGGCCAGCTTGCGCAGGTCGGCGTTGAGCTGGCCCGGGAAGCGCAGGCAGGTGGTGACGCCGCTCATGGTGGCCGACACCAGGTGGTTGAGGTCGCCGTAGGTGGGCGTGGTCAGCTTGAGGGTGCGGAAGCAGATGTCGTACAGGGCCTCGTTGTCGATGCAGTAGGTCTCGTCCGTGTTCTCCACCAGCTGGTGGACCGAGAGGGTGGCGTTGTAAGGCTCCACCACCGTGTCCGACACCTTGGGCGAGGGCACCACGCTGAACGTGTTCATGATCCTGTCTGGGTACTCCTCCCGGATCTTGCTGATGAGGAGGGTACCCATCCCAGACCCGGTCCCCCCACCCAGGGAGTGGGTCAGCTGGAAGCCCTGCAGGCAGTCACAGCTCTCAGCTTCCTTCCTCACAACATCCAACACCGAGTCGACCAGCTCCGCGCCTTCCGTGTAGTGCCCCTTGGCCCAGTTGTTCCCAGCACCGCTCTGACCTGGAAGAGGGCAGCGAGTCACTCTCTGCTGGGCACGCGGCCACCACTGGCCACCCATGCCAAAAAGCCCAAGTAACGTTGCACAAGGGGACACACAGAGCTCAGCCGCAGGCAGACCGAGGGCCCCCCCCACGCGGATAAAGCGGTAACCCGCCCGTCTGAAACTTAAGCTAGGGGTCAATCAAGACGGCTCCCCAAAGGCAGCCCCTGCCAATTCTCAAGGACAGAGGAGCGGCAAGCACAGCTTCCCGCTGCCGCCACCTCCGTGTCCCCAGCAGACAACGCGTGCCCGATCGGCCCTGCTGGGGGACAGCTGGGCCTCCCTCCCAAAGCAGCTTTAGGAGATTGAGCCGCTCAGGGAGAGGAGGTGTCCAGGGGCGTGAGCTTCTGCCTGGGGAGGGCAGAGTGGATCAGCACCTCAGCTCTGCGCTGCGGACGGCGCTGACCTTGGGCACCCCTTGACCTCTGGGCCGCCCCAGCTGTCGGGCAGCGCCCAGCCCCCACCCCGAAGCTCACCAAAAACGAAGTTGTCTGGCCTGAAGATTTGCCCGAAGGGTCCCGAGCGCACGGAGTCCATGGTGCCCGGCTCCAGGTCCACGAGCACAGCGCGGGGCACGTACTTGCCGCCTGGGGCGGGTGGGGGAAAGGCGGGGGGAAGAGGACGTCAGCGGGGCCAGGGCCGCGGGAAGGCAGGAAGGCGCGGGGGAAGGGGCGTGGTGTCTCACCGGTGGCCTCGTTGTAGTACACGTTGATCCGCTCCAGCTGCAAGTCGCTGTCGCCATGGTAAGTGCCAGTAGGATCGATGCCGTGCTCGTCGCTGATCACCTCCCAGAACTGCAAGGGACGCGGGCGGGCCGGGCCCGGGCTGAGTCACGCCGGCGGGGCCCCAAGCCGGCCCCGCCCCGGATGGGCGCGGCCCTCCCCTCCCCCCACGCCGCCGCCGCCGCCGCCGCCGCCAGGGCAGGTTCGTCCCCGGGGGCCCGCGCCGCAGCTCCCGCTCCGACCCCGCGCCGGGCCGCAATGCGGGTGGCCGCCCACCCACCCGCCCGCCCGCTGCCGCCATCTTTCCTGCCGCCCACCCGGGACAGTCGCACCAAGCCCCAGGCGCCCCACTGCCCACCTTGGCGCCGATCTGGTTGCCGCACTGGCCGGCCTGCAGGTGCACGATCTCCCTCATGGCGGCGGCGGCGGCGGCGGCGGCGCTGGCGGAAGGACAGACGCGAGAGCCAAGGAACGGGCGCGCAGACTGCTACAACCGACGCTCCTCCAACGCTTATATATCCGCAACGCCCGCCCCCGCCAGCCTCCTATGGGGCTGCCAGGACGAGGCTGGCAAGCTTCCTGGTCTGATTGGCTGAATTTCCCGTCAATCCTGCCGCTTAACGCCCACCTTCCCAACGCCGTTCGCTTCTTATTGGTCCGCTTTGGCCTCCGCTCTCCCTATCAAAACCCCCTTCCTCGCGCTGCAGCGCTCTGTCCATTGGCTGTTTCAAATGATTGATTTGCGCTTTCATTGGCTGGCTCCGGAGAGCACGCCGACCGAGGGCCGGCGTCCTGGTAACCGCCGCAGTGCCGCGGGGACGCGCGCGGGCAGGGCAGGGTGGGGCGGGCCTCCCGGGGAGGTGTGTGTGGGGGGTGCTGGGCCGAGGGTTGGGGGGTGCGCTGCTCCGGGTCTGCGCCCTGACAAATGCAGGCCGGACGGGGCGCTCACGCGAGCTGGAGACTCTGCAGCCCCGGCCCGCCGAGCGCCTTCCCCGGGTGGCTGCCCGGGTCCCGAGGGCACGGAACGTGGGGTCGGGCCCACCCCGCGGGGGCTCGGTGCGGAGGAGGGGGCGGGCGGGGGGGTTCCCCTGCTCCCCCCTCGGTCCGCACGCCCGCCCGCCGCGGGGGCGGTCAGGTGAGGGAGCACTTGGGGCCGCTGCCCCTTGGGCCCCGGGAGGGCGGGGAGGGGCGGGGGCCTCCCGGCTGCCGCGCGCTTGTTGTGGGGACGGCGCTGGCCGCGCGCCGGTCGCCTGGTGCCCCGGGAGCGCCGCGAGCCGCGTGGGGACGCGCCCCCGGCCTCCTGCCCCGAGGCCGCCCTGCGCCGACAAATGCCTTTTTCGCTGATGCGGGCGGGGGTCTGGGAAGGGACGCGGCTCCGAGGCCTGCGGTCGCACGTCCAGTCCGCCGCTTCCGAGACTGCCCCGTGCGTTTCTGTCACGCCCTTGCGTCTGCCGGGAGCGACGTCCCTTGCTGCGGCCACTGCAATCTCAGCAGAGTCCAGTTTTCTCAGCTTCTTGCCCCGGTGGTCGTGGGGGGCAGTGCGTGGATGCCCTCTCCGGGTCCTGCCCTCCCCTCCGTGCTGCGGCGGGAGCGCTCAGTGCGTTCTGCAGGCGCGTTACCGGCCCAGCGCAGGGTCAGGACGGAGTCGGTGCACTGGGCGTGCGTCCCCGGGAGAGGGGTCTGGCGCGCGGCGCCGGGACTGCAGTGCTGGCCCCCGCGGTGAGTCAGTAGGGCCTTAGGGGGCCGGCCCCCTCCCTCCCACACCTGTGCCGGAACGTGGGGTCTTCCCCGGCCGGCAGGTGCACAGGCATCCTGGGATGGCTTCCTCCCCGCGCCCGCAAAGTGGCTGAGCTGGTCATGCAGCCCCCTGCAGGGCAGGGCTCCGCTCTGGTGAGCCGGAGAAGCTCCATGTTTCCCCAGTGCGTCGACGAGGTGTTTGTCGAAGGCTTCTCCACTCACCCACTACCCCAGGCTGTGTGGCCACAGGTCCCCACTTTCTGCCCAAGTGTGAGCCCAAGAGCTCTGAGACACCAGGTTGTCCACCTTGACCCTCCCATGGCCTCAGGGACCTGGACTGTGAGAACAAGAACGCAGAAGTCTCCCTGCGGCCCTCAGGCGTGAGCCCAAGAGCACAGTGGCTGTGGCTGCACAGGGCTGGTGGGGGAAGGCCCTGCAGACCCCTACCCTGAGCAGGGGTGCTCCTGCCGCAGTGTGGGCACTGGACCTGCATAGGGCAGGAGGGCCAGCCCCAGTGGCCTGGGCCCAGTGAGGGTCTGTGACCAGGAGGGATGCAGGGCAGAAAGGGCCAGACATGCGGGGAAGTCCAAGCTGGGGCCGTGGGAGTGCTGGGCACCTGGCCCTCCCGCCCCAGCCTGCAGCTGTTGGCGGCTTCCACAAATGGAGGCTCTGTTTACTGGTGGCCATGGTCCCAGCGGGAGGGTGCCTTACCGCCAGGCAGGGGCAACAGGCAGACAGTCCTCCTTGGCCTCAAAGGACCCGCAGTCAGCCTTTGTGGGCGGCCTCACCCGCCCCGGAAGGAGGGGTGCATGGGGTACTTTCTTCCCCTCCCTCTGTGTCCCCGCTGTAGGGAGGGAAAGCTCCTCACCGGTCTCCCCAAGGAACTAGCCAGGCCCAGCCCCACTTCAGGAACTTCCATCTGTGGGACCAGGAGGCTGATGTGTCCCCCCACTCCGCCCCGGGGAATGTCCTGAGGTCATAGAAGTCGGTTTGCGGGGCGGGAAGGGGGAGCGCGCAAGCTGGAGTGTATGAGCCTGCCCCTGGGTCTTGCTCCTATGAGCCCCAAACAGGTAGCTAACTCCCTTGGTAGTCGGGCAGGAAACCCCACACTTAGGAGTCCTGGAAACTTACTGGGGGAGGACAGGGGACATGGAAAGTGAACGGACTGAGAGGACCTGGGGGACATAGGGGATCTGAGGGGACTGAGGGCTGGGAGTTCTGAGGGGAATGAAGACATGACCGTGGACAAGCATTGGCCCCAGGGCTCCCCAGGCCTCCTCTCCCCACACTGGGTCTGGGTGGGCAAACCTGGAGGGCTGGGGAGGAGGTGCCCCTCCATCAGGGCAGCGTTCCCTGGACGAGGAGAAGGTGACTGCCCACAGCAGCATACTAAGAAGTGGGGCCAGCTGAACCCGGGTACAGGGTCCCCTCCACCTCTGGTCTGTGGGGGTGTGCCCCTCACTGCGGGTGTTCTGGGGTTCTGGGCCGTAGACTTAATCCTACTGGAGAAGCATCTCTCCTTGTGTTATTCTGGGGGAGACGTGTTGTGGGAAGGCCTGGGCTGGGATGGGGGGACGCCCAGACCGCTTCCAGGAGTTTCCTTACCGGCCGGCCGGCAAATAAGCCTTACCAGCACAGGGAGGAGCAGGGGATGGGTAGGAGTCCCCGTGGGGGACATCCCCTCAGGTGGGGAGACAGCACTCAGGCTCACCGTCCCTCACCTGACCTCCTCCTGCCTCACGGCCGAAGGGTTTGGGGACATGGTGGTCTGGGACCTGGGTGGGGGCAGCTCTAGGGCTGCATGGGACCCAGTTCCTGGTGGATCCTGCTGCGGGGGGGGGGGGGGCCACTGAGAACCTGCTCTGCTGGGCCTGTGGCAGCCCTCCAGTGGCGTCTCATCCGGACTTGCCCTGTGCCCTGCCCATGGTGGGGGGCAGTATGGCAGGGGAGCCTGGGGCCTCCTGGTCCTCACTCATCCCCCTCACCTCTGGGGCACCTGTGGGACCTGTGAGGCTGGCCCCCAGAGGGACTACCAGCACCACCTGGCTCCAAAGGTGTGTCCTCTGCGGCTGGGTGGGAGGATCCCGGCCACATCCGACCACAGATTCTTCCTCAGGGATATCTTCACGCACCAGACTGGCTGCCTCTTGGCACCTTCTGTCCCCAGAGGCTCAGGAGAGAAAACAGACTGACAGCTTGGGACTCCAGGCTTAGCTGTGTGCCCACACCACCTGGGCTTGCAGCGGCCCCCGAGTGTTCCCGGGGGCGGGGGGGGGGCAGGGGACAGAGGGCACTTGTCCACTTCCGGTTCGCTTCAGAGGCTGGTCAGGGGCCCTCTGCAGGCAGGAGAGAGAAGACCACTCGCACCTGGTCCAAGCCTTGTTTATTTGCAAGGAAGGCAAGCCAGGTGACTCCGAAGTCGTCCGCTACCGGGACCCCCCAGGGCACCCTCCCTTCACAACTGCTGGGAGGCCAGGACCTCGGGGTTCTCGTAGCAGTGGGCCTCCTTGGCAGCGGCGGGGGGCGGACTGCACACCCTGCAGGGGCAGCAGCGGCTGACCAGGCGGTCCCAGGGCTCCAGGGAGCGGAGCCAGCGTGGGAGCCAGGCCCAGGAGCGCAGGCGGCGGGGCAGCCAGGCGGGTCGGTGCCGCTGCAGGACGTTGATCAGGACAATGAGGAGCACCAGCCCCACCAGGGGTCCCCCCACAGCAGCCAGCACCGTGCTCCCTGCCAGGGAGAGCCCAAAGGCGGCCAGAGGCAGCAGCAGGAAGCTGAGCAGCAAGTAGGCAATGGCCACCCAGCGGTAGGTGGCCGTCAGGTCCCCAAAGTGCTTGGCCAACGGGATGGGCAGCCGAAGGACAGGCACCACGTACCACAGCAGGATGCCAGCCAGGTTGAAGAAGAAGTGGATGAGGGCCACCTGGAGGTCCAGAGGGCAGGCAGGACTCAGGAGCCTGGGACCCATGGCACGCAGGTCCCCTGGAGGCTACGCAAGACCCCTGCTCCTCCACCCCACCCCCACCCCAGCCAGAGGGTGCTAAGTCTGAAGCCTGTTGGAGGTCTGCTTGTTGGCCTCAACGGGCCGCCTCGGAGGGTAGAGTCCCACCAGACATGGGTATGCCTTCTGGTTCCTCCCCACTCCCCGCAGCACACCTAGCGTTTGGGAGCCCAGTCTAGCCTCTTAGTGGGGGAAGCACATCACTAATGACGGCGTCTGCTCCTCCCATGGTCCGGCTTAGCTTGCCTGCATCTCATGCCTAGTGCCCCCGCTCCTGCTTATCCATGAGTGGGCTTGGCCACCCAGCCCTGGGCTCTGGCCAGGCTCCTGTGGGGAGGAGGTGCAGGGCCACATGTACAGGGAACAGAGCTCCTGCCAGGGGCTGCTGGCCTTGAGGAGTCAGTGTGGAAGGTGCACCAGAGGGCTTCCTGGAGGGGGTGGACCAGAGCCCTGCACCAAGAGGGTCTGAGTGGACAGAGCAGAAGCAAAAATGCAGGAGGATGGTAGGGAGGGCTTGTGGGCAGAAGCCCAGCAGGATCTGGACCTTCAGGAGCTGCCCCTCTCGGGGCACCTAGCCAGAGGCTTGAGAAACTCAAGCCAGGGCAGCAGACCACCAAAAGAGCAACTTAGAGAGGGAATTAGCAGGGCTAAGGGGACTGGGCGTGGGGCACAGAGCTAGGGGACCAGAGGGAGGCGTCCTGGAGGCAGAACTGTGGCCGTG